TTTTTTTTTCTAATTTGCATAATGAATTTTTCAAACATTTTTGTCTATTTAAAAAAAAGTGCGTAAGTTATGGAGATGGTAACAATCAAAAATCGATTATAAATTTAATTCTACATTTTTAGACAAAAAAAATAAACCCTCTTAGCCCACGGCCCATTTTTGACACCATGACCATGCGTAATATTAACATGCAGTGTATATATACGAAGAATTTTTTCTATTAGGATCAGAGTTGACTAACTGGTACTTGGTGTGGTACTAGGTTTATCGCATTTACGGCTTAGGGGCCGCGGTTTACCTCCCTCCGTTTAGTCATGCTGGATCAGGGGTAGTAAACTCAGCGATCGTGGGTTCGATTCCCACACGGGGCAAGGTTTTTTTTTTATTTATTTTTATTTTTTTATTTATTTTTTTAAAGGTCGTGGGTTCGATTCCCACACAAGCCCGTTTTTTTATTTATTTTTTTTTTAAGGCAGTTTAGTTGATGGTGGATAATGAATAGCAAACATAGAGGTTGTGTGTTCGATTCCCACACGAACCAATTTTTTTTCCTTTAAGGCAGTTTAGTTGATGGTGGAAAATGAATGTATTGTATTGTATTGTGTAAATTTAATCTCATTGAAATAACAAAAGTGTCAATAGTGAGGTCGTTAGCAATTTTAATTGCATGGGGAAAGAAAGATGACAAGAACCTCAAAGAGCAACCAGAAAATTGAAGAAATTGTGTGTGGCGGGGGTTTCTAAGAGGGATGGAACAATTACCGCGTGGAGGAAAGAAGGGGTGTAGGGGAAAGGTTTTTCACATTACCAGACAGCTTTTAAAAAACATAAGAAATCATACACATCTCCATGTTTTCTTGCAATTTATTTTATTGCAGACAGATAAGAAAAACAACATCATTCATATTTCCCTAAGTCTATTTTTATATAACAATTTGTTTAATACAAGCAAAATACAATGATTCTGAGCAGAGTAATGTTGCTAAACTTAAAATAGAACTACCTTTGGAAATCATTTAAAAAAAAAAATATGAAACTAAAATATATATAGTAACAGAGTTCTTAAGTGATAATAAAATACTATAACTGAATATTAAAAAAGAAAATCATATTTATATTTTAGAAAAAAAAATGAAGATAATTTAATCGGTATTCTTTATCATGAATTGTCTGCCTCTTCTAAAATGTACACATTGACTTATTTTTTTATTAAAAATATTACTAGTAGCATGGAGAAAGCAGAGTCCTACAGTACTTTTTCCATGCTAGTATCATACCATGTCTGTTTAGGGAGATGAAAATATTTACATCTCCCTGGTCTGTTTTCCCAATCCATCATGCCTCTTACGACTGGTTTCCATGAAATTGTTTCATGCTACTGCCGACAGCCTTTGGCGACGCTAATTGGTCGGTTGAATTGGGAAGCCCTCCAGATTACATCAGAGTGTAAAAATATGCAGTGAAAAACATTGTAGCAACTTCAATACTGTCAAGAAATTTAAAAACAAACTGCAATACATTTTGATCAAAAATTAATGGTAAAACTTGATAAAAATAATTGAAGTGTAAATGAAAAAGTATATCCTAGTATATTGATAGGTGTTTTTAAAACAACAAGAACAAAAAAAAACTTTAGACTATGTTTCCACATACATACATTCATTTTTGGACATCAAAGTGAATAAAATTATAATGCCATGTACAGAACTACCCTTTAAAAAAACTTGGAAACTAAAACATAATTGCAGAGTTCCATAATAGCTCAAAGAGATAACTAAAAACAATTCTATTTTATAAGACCAACACAGAGCACATTATTTTAACCACAAATTCACATAAAAATAATGGAAGAATATTTCATCAAACATTGGCACATGTTAATAAGTTTTCACATGAAACAATATTAGGCTTTTTCTTTTCACATTTGATCCATATAACATGACGCTTTTTAGTTTTGTAAATCAATGATACTCGTTATAACGAATATTAATTTTTGTAATTGTTTTATTCAATTAATCTAAATTACACATCAGGAAAAAGTCGAATAGCTAAAAAAATTGTGAATATCAAAAATTTCCCACATAAACATCTCGCTTAAATTTACAAGTTTTTAGAAAGGCAATTATATGAGTTCTCCTTATGGTGAGTATTCTCCCTCATAATAATTTTCAGGAATCGACATATAAAAATTAGTATTTGTTCTCAGATTGGCATTGACCTATATTCCGGATCGACTTGCACTCCAGGTCAACTTATTCTTGGGGTCGACTATACAATCAAATAATTATTGTATAGTCCTACTAATTTATTCCATATGTCTCTAAAGTAAGTTGTACACAATTCTGATTATTATTGAAAAAAATACTAACACAAAACAGTAAAATAAATATGGATAAAACAAAAACACTAAAAATTGAAAGAAAAAAACCAATATCAACAAATGTATGTTTAACAAAATAAAAATTAACAATGAAGGAATTAATCACCAGCAACGTTTTTTTATATTTAAACAAATACTGATAATTTTTAGGCCCAGTTTGATATCTTGAATTTAAATACATACTTTTTTCACCAATTCAACAAATGTGCTTTAATATCCATTAACTTGAATGGAAATCCGCATAAAGTTTTCATACCCAAAGTAGATTAACATTCTACTGATTCTAAAAACAAAAAGATATAAATAAGTCTTGTCAAGTAAAATTACTGTTATTAGAGTGTGTTTGATTTAAATTAGAAATGGTAAAAAAATCCTCCATGGTATAATGAGAAAATATATATGACTGTGATTATATGTTTGATTGTAATAATTTCTACGAAGTAATTCAGTAGTTTTGCCGCCATATGGGTGTTTAATAATCTTAACTCTAATACACAGCATTTCTTGATGGGTTTAAACAGAGCAATTCCTTCATTGATTAAAATTGGACATAACATACAGAATGAGCTACAAGCAATTGATCCCTTTCATCTTGTTAATCATTAGAGTAAAAACCTGCTATACACTATGAACCTTAACTTTACCCCTCATTTACATAAATTCACTAGGAAATGTACATTTTAGTAACTATTTTAATTATCATATAATGTCTGGGGAAACTTCCTTAGCTCTTCTCTTATTAATGGAATTGCCAATTAACAGAAGTAAAATCTATTGAAAGTAGACAAAGAAAAATAAATTTTTTCAAAATTTGATTAGTCCTGACAACACCTAATAATAATAATAATAATATTTAGGACACAAGGACAGCAACTTACCTTACCCAAATTTCTACTAAGTTGCATAAAAAAACAAACATTTTAACGTCATGAAAAAAATAAATAAATAAATAAAAAACCAATATTAATAGTTCTATTGTCAAGTCTCAATAAATGTAACAAATATAAATAAATATTTCAATCAATATTTTATGCACATGGAATTCTCAATTCCTGCAATGTTATCTAAAAACAACTTTCTATTTTCTATATATTTTGCCTACAAAAAGAAATAGATTTTAAATGTCATTGTTAATTATAAAAAATCTACTTCTTTTTTACACTATAAAATCATCAAAATTGTATTTAACTTAATTTTCATCTTTCACCTCAAACCAACCGAACATTATTTTTGTACTTTTTGATTGGACTATTTAATCAAATAACAATCATGTGGAGTAAACAAACACAAACATACAACCACTAAACAATCTGTTGTGAAAAAGTGCAAACTATACCCATGTTTTTAACTACCATATTCTACTGATGTAATATGTCATGTGAACAAGCCCTCAAAGCGCTTCACATATATAAGGCATACTAGTTAGTGCTAAGATTGTGACAATGACAAATGGAGCAACAAGGACCAAATAATATTGTATTCAATTGGTATGATGTATGAAAATTATTAATCTTAACCATATAACCTTCTTTAATTTATAAAGTATGTTGGCAACCCAACTGACATGAAATTATTATTTTAACTTATTGTTACTTAAAATTAGCAGGATTACTAATAATAATGTTACAGTCCCTTTTATAATAAATAATGAAAAAAACATCATTGTGAGTAGTAATATTATTATTATTATCATTACTTTGATAAGTATTGAATAAATACATAAATAATAACCAACAATCAACACTGAAAGGTAATGTTTATCATACATCGACTATTAAATAATTATATTTATCATTATTGATTTTAGATGGTTCATAATCAATAAATAGCTTTTTATTATTATAATTGTTATTTACTATAATTAAAAATCATATGTATGTAAATGAAAATAATATTAGTATCAACCAATCAGTGGAGAGTGTATGATGTTCATGTTGTATAAATTCATCGATATGATATTGATATTGTTATAAAGAAACACTTTATCAGTGATATATAAAGATGAGAAATAGTTTTCGAGAAATAAAGTATTCTTCTTAGTTCAATTCAAAACTGTGAAACTACAATTCATATAATTACAGTTATTTATATATTATTGCATGTAATCCTTGTTACTCCAATCTTTAATATTTCCAATTTAACATTGAGTACAGCAATCATAAAATAGATGACAGGGCAGTAATAACTTACTACTGATACTTTGAAAATGATTAGTCAGTTTAGGCACAGAACTACAATAACACAGTTGACAATCCATGGGAGGCAAAAAGGGCATACCCCATCCCCCACCCATTCTACATGGAGCCAAAAAAATCTCAAGCCAATCATTAAATCTTTTAGACAAGAGATTGTAATGGCTAAAGTCCAAAGCTTCAGGAGGCTATAATGGCCCATGTACTGGGAACACCTCCAACTCTTCCCACCATACGTCCACGACGGGTACTTCAAAGCCCCCGGCAGAAACATCCTGTATCCACACGTATAATAACTTCACAGTTTAGGATTCTCAAAGCTCTACTGGTCTGCAGTAGTCCTTTCAAACCTACTTGTGTCCACCTTATCTTTCAGTCACGATGGCAGAAAAACTGACCAGTGAGCAAACAGCTTGGCTCACTATTTGCCTCCTTTGTAAGTCTTAAGGCCTTAAAGTAAAACACATAACCTCTACCATAAACATATCAGCATTAAAATTTAAAATTAGTTTAAACCACTGACACGTTCTGATACTGCACCTAGTGCAAATACCCCATTTCGATATACAGTACTTATTACTCTACTGTACTGGTTTCTCCAAGAATTGAGCGATGTGTTCTCTGTACATTAGTTTGTTAGCCATTTCCTGTTGACAAAAAATTGCTTGGACTCAAATTACCTTAAGTACTAATTAGCCAATTTATTTTGGTTAAACTAATGACATCTACACCTCTGCTATTTTAGTACTGGTGATTCTGCCTTGTCGAACTTTTTCTAACCGTTTCTTCAAGTGTCCTTTTTCTGTTTCTAATTCTTCAACTTGATCTTTTAGAGAACGGTTCTAGAAAAAATAAACAAGAAATATGAGTTAAGTTTAAATATACATGACTCATTGACACATAAAGCAAATATTATTGTTAACAAATGATTCTTGTTCATTATTGTTATTTTTTATTATTATTATTATTATTATTATTATTATTATTTATTAAATATAGGCCTACTGGATTTGTTTTTTCATCAGAGTGGCAACAAACAGCACCCTTCAAGAATGTACTCTATTTCTGTACATTATTTTTCCTGTTATTTCTTTTATTAAAAAATTAAATAATAACAGAATTATAATTAACTGAAATACAGTACTGGAATTTGAATCTGAAATTTAATGTGTATTATGAGGCAATAATAATGAATTTCTTTTTTTATAATGGTAGACTTCAAAAGCACTAATATTGGTTGAACACATACTTCAAAAAACTGAACCTTAAGAGCCTAATCCTTAAAATTAGCCACCCAAACTATACATGGTTGGGTTTTTTCAACTCTCTACATGCTCATCCACCAATTGTCTGTCTATTGCCTTCTTGCTACTCGGTGACCATTTCTAGTAGAACGCAGCTCAACATTATAACTGAACATATCTCTTTTGAATGCCTAAATAAACCAATAAAGAAATTAATTATAAATAAGAATGAGATTGCTTATTTTGTTGTCTTACCTCTCTTATGAGTTTCCTTTTATCTAATTTCATTTCTTCTTCTGACTGTTCTGCTGTTTCAGCAGCTTGTTTGTAACGTTTAACTTGACCCTCTAATCGAGAATTCTGATTAAAAAAAAAAAAGAATCATAAATTAAAGTTTTGACAGTACAATACCATATCTAGATAATAGTAAACATACAAATCACATATTAAAAAATGTATACATCTTATACTTTTATATATTATAGATTGTTATATAGATAATACCATTCCTTAATCCTCGATAGTGTAGGTCTAGCCTCCAAGATTTAGATTTAGAGACTTCTGTAGTCAAATGCTTGTAAATCAGCAAAAACTGAATTGTTTTCTTTTGTGTTTCATTAAAAGTTGATAAAGTTAATTGTTTATTAGAATAAAAAAGCAAATCATTTGTGGGTTTTCTAGACTTTGCCATACACAATATCTTTTCTTAAATGAAATTGGAACTGCAACATTGCAACATGGGCATTAAGATTATTTTCAACATTATATATTTAATCATGAAAGAAAAAAAATATTAATTTGTCATGCATTTTAGCCCTCCAGCTGAAACACAACGAAAGAGGAAGTGCAGCAAATTTAACCGCACACCAAAGATTAACAATGGATCTCCATGGTTCAGCTTCCACACTGTGCCTACCACTAGTTTTAACTGACTTTAGCTATGCTACTCTCAAACATTGAAAGATAAATCCCATACTTTGTAAGAGCAGGTACTGTAAATGCTTGAATAAGTGCTGCGGCGCTTTTAACATTTTTTGAGGCTTCAGTACTGCGCGTATTCGAGAGCAGCACCTATTCGAGAGCGGCACTTATACAAAATATTAGTGTGGCGCTTTCCATGCCCGTTCCCATGTTATCTATCCGTAATTCAGTAGGCTTATAGTAGGTCCTACGTCATCGTAAATAAACGTTTATGAAGAAATGCTTGTGTCTTCATTGTGTTATTTACAATGTATACACTGTATAATTGTATTTAAACCCTGTTTCTCAGTGTTTCATTACACACAGGGTAATATATGCTTTAGATTAAGCACTGCAGCGCTTATTCGAGAGCGATGCTTAGCTAAAAAAATTAGGTTTAGCAGGGCGCTTATTCAAGAGCGACACTTATTCAAAAGCGGCGCTTATTTGGAAAAAGGAAAAAAATGAAGTACTGTAATTGGGAAACTTACAATCGCTTCAAGGTTTGTGAGTTCCTGTTCCGCATTTTGAAGTTTATATTTCATTTCATTCACCTGCTTGCTGGCTTCTCCTATAAGAAATAAAAACATTATTTGCGAATTACATTAATTATTATATAAATAATAATAATAATAATAATAATAACAATAATAATAATAATAATAACAATAATAATAATAATAATAATACATTTGCTTCTTACTTTGTATATCATAGACATTCATTTCCGGACCATTTAGTAATGGCGCCTGCGCCGTTCTTCTCCTCTCCGCCACCGCTAATTTATCTCTTTCATTTTCTAAGTCAATTTTAAGTATTCTAATCTGAAATTTAATAAAAAATAAAATAAGTATTCAGTAAACTAGCTGTCTCTTATACACATCTAGATGTGTATAAGAGACAGAACCAAGTCTTCTTAGATAAAGACTTATAATGGAGGCCCAGTGTATACATTTGGCTCGTGTGCACTTTGAAGAACCCATTGCATCTTTCGGAAGAGTAGGGGGGTTACCCCGATGTTATGCTTCATTTTAGCCCCTGTCGTTATGGAATGATGTGAACATGTACCTAAGTGCCTCTTTAGGGATGTTAGGTAGTCACGGACCAAGCCCATACGCAATTCAGCACAATGACACTGCAAGTTATGGCTTATTCTGCTACCGTTACCTTTACCTTTAAATTATCAACAATGTAACACAGAAATTAATAACTGCACCTTGATCACAACAAAATGATCCAAAATCTGAATTAATTTTATTCCTGTGGTGGGTTTAGTCAGTCAAGCTTGTACAGGAGTGAGAGAAGAGAACTCATAAGCACATAATTCTCTTTGTAATACATTATTGTTTTGTAAGTACATTTACAAATGTCTTATTTTCTTTATTACCTCTTCAAGTAATTCTTTTTTCTCCTCCACAAACTTTTTGAGCCGTACATCCAGAGGGCCTTCGCCAACCATTTCCAACATCTCCGCTGCTTCAGGTGACACTACAACTATTGCTCCTACTTTGTCTTTTAGTTCTTTTTCATTTCCTTCTCCATTTTCTCCTACTAATATCAGACCATGTTCCTGGGTAAAGCAAATTCAGAATCAAGATTTATATCTTTACTCATCAACACGAATGTGCATTCTATTGTCAAAGAAAATGTCTGATGTAAAAGCCAGCCAGGGGAAAAAACAATGATTTGTTATACAACTGATTTTTCTATAGAAATAGAAAGGGTATTTGATGAAAAAAAACAGGAATGATTAATAAGATACAGTTTTTCTATATTAAAAAATTTGTATCTATTAACCATTTATTAACCCAGGTTTTTTATCTACTACCCCCTCATTATCTAAAGCTCTGGCCAGACTATCAAATTTTATCTGACAAAAACATGTGACATGCCTAAATGTGATCATGATGACATCACATCATGACCATATATAGGCACATCATGACTATATATGGGCATACAACAGGGTTTTATTTTTCTTCAAATAAACTTTGATAGTCTGGACAGATCTTTAAATTTAAAACAAATACAACATATAAAAAAAAAATGTTTCCTCTGGAATCTGGCTTTAGACTATGAAGTTTCAGGTGACAAATGACTGTGACAATGTGTGGGAATGATGCTGCTGTATCACACCCATACATGGGTAAATCACAGGAATTTATCACATAAAACTTGACTCTTATTATTAATATTAATAATGCTGAACACAAGGAGTAGACCTGTAGCCTGGCTGATAAAACTGCATGCCTGGTTGTTAAAACTGCCTTCCAATACTAGGGTACTAATGACAGAATATTTGTTTTCAGCTAGAAAGAAGACCACTTCCTAGCAATTCATATAAAAAAGAGTAGTAGTAGTCTGGCTGTTAAAACTGCATCGCTGGTTGTTAAAACTGCCTTCCAATACTTGGGTACTAACGACAGAATATTTGTTTACAGCCAGAGAGAAGCCCACTTCTTTTGCGATTCATATAAAAAAAGAGTTGAGCTGTAGCCTGGTTGCCTTCCAATACCAGGATCCTAATGGCCGGGTATTTGTTTACAACTAGAAAGAAGTCACTTCCTTAGCCTCTTAATAATGGCCTATAAAGCCTATAAGGAAATAAAATAATATTTATAGTAACTATAATGTGCAGAATAAAACCAAGTTTATAACACTACCTCAATTAGTTTGTCTCTTTGTTCTAACATTTCTCTAAGAATTGATACTTCATTATGTAACCCGGCTGCCTCTCTTTTTTTAAACTCTAAATCCTATAAACAATAAGAAAAGAAAACAAAGAATTAAACATTATAGGCTATGTTTTTTTTTATAACATAATAAAAAATGTCAAAAAATACTGAGGGTAGATGAGTCTTTTTGACAAAAAAAAGTTAATGTTGAAAAAATAGTAGAATGTCTTCTGCATGACATTATTCTTTTGTGTATGTAAGTTTAAGGCACAGAAATTGAATGAATAAAGAAAGAAAGAAAGGTATATATTTAATACTTCAGAGACTTAGACATAGAAAATTGAAATATGGACATCGGAAGCATTTGAGATGGTTTTTTGAAAGATATGTGGTAGAAAATTGGAAAGGCTGAATAAAAAATAAACTAAAAAAAAAAAACAATACAAATGAAGACAAACAGCTTTTTACATCACAAATTTTCATTTATTTATTTCTGAAGTTAGTTATTATCATTACTAGTAATATCATTACATATCTGTAATTAGGTATGAACTTCACTAATGACAGTGTCACAAATTTGCAAGATGTGTTTTGTTTTGCTTGAAACACCCAACAAAATAATGAAAGTACATACCCTATGTTTTTCTCTGGCTTCCCTCTGAATTTCGTACATCATTTCTTCCTGCTCTTCAAGTGTATCCTTAAGTATGTCAACCTCGGCAACCAAGGCTGCTTTTTCATTGTCCATTTGAGCATTTGCCATCATAGCTTTCTTATATTTCTCCTCTAATTCAGATATTGTTACCTATCAACAAACAAGTAACATTAGGACTTAAAAAACCTTCTCTCATGTCACAGGCTGGGGGGCAGGTTTGTGGAAGATGGCCATGACAGTAAATTAGTTCTATTAAAAATGAGTTAATATAGTCAAAATGATCACTAAGATTTCATTGTATGTTATCCCCTCCCCCATCCCGGGATGAAACCGGCCTACACCCCTGGTGAGCCTACATTATTGTTAACTCTAGCATGGTTGTTTGAAATGTAAACATCCAAGCTCTTCACCCCTGTGATTGGGTTTTGGAATGAATTGATTCATGATAATATGGTTTATACATACTAATGTATTAAGAATCATAGAGCTATAATAGGCAATGTACACTATGTTTGACATATGCCTATTGAAGTCCTAGATAATTCCATGTGCAGTAGCTTTCTAGTTTTTTATGTAATTTTGAAACGTTAATGCAAAGAATTCAGTCATTGTGCTGTATTGTATTCGGTGTTTTATACCCAAATACAATAATAAATAGCATGTTGAAAATACAAGAAAGATTAAGGTTAAAGAGTAGCAACCTTAGAATTTTACGATGAAAGAAATTCATTTATTATACATAAAGATGAAATAAATTGTGAAAGGATTTTATCATTGTAATTTTTATAGACCTCCAATGAAAAGAGCTGATATTTCCTTGCTTAGGTTATGTTTATGTGTACTGTATATGTATATGAATCTCTTCCATTTGAATATTATTTGTACTAATTATAAATAAAATAAATGAAACAAACGGTGGAATGTGATAAATTATGTCTGTCTAGACTCCGCTTATATTAAATTATAATTATTATCAAATATACATTACCCTCATTGTGTCCTGATCTGTCGAGTCTATACTTTCCCTCCTGGACGTTGACGGGCTAGCAGTTGATGCATATGATGAGACCGACACCGAATGCTTAACCAATGGCTATAAACAGTAAATAACCACAAAATATTAACATATGCTATAAGCAAACAATATCACCATTCTTCTACTGAATACATTCCACAATAAATTCATATTGAATTATGATTACACGAGCTCCATCTGTTATTAGAAAGGCCATTACATATTAAAAGCAATTATAATGATGATGATGCTATAACAGTACCTAGTAATCATCATTAAAATAATCACAATAAAATAAAAATATAAATAATAGGAATTTATAATAAAAAACCACAATAAACAATTATAATTATTAATAACATCATTAATAATAATCAGAACAAAATAACACTAATATAATTTTAAAATAATAAATATAAATAAAAAAATAGTAACAATTAAATACTAACAATAACATAAATAATAATAATAATAATAATAATAATAATAATGAAAATTATTATCTTTACATATTTTGATGAAAATTATGAGAGAAACAGTGCATCGTAAACTCTTGATTGAGAGTCAGATGTGCACAGTAGCTGATTGCTGTAAATGGAGATTATTCCACTGGTAAAGAAAAAATGATTAAATTCTTTTCTGCAGATACTCTAGGTCAGCATTCACCTATTATTTCACCCTAAAACACCATGCCGTTAATAATTGAATTGTGTTATGTGCAACTTATGCTAATACAATACCTGATAGGTTGTGAAAATAATGAGAAAATGCTATGTCATAATTAAAGCGTTTGTAAAAAAGGTTATTCACATGCCCGAGTGCAAAAAAGAGCATACCGTAAAAGTGGTTATTGCTATTGCTTATTGCTATAATTTGTTTTATTTCGTTCATATCCTATGCCAACACATTACACTAATAATTATAACTTAAACTTTATAGCGAGACTTTGATATTGGTAGTGGTGGTGATGATGATGGTGATGTTACATTATGGCGGTGATGGTGATGATAATAAAAGTGACCATGAAGTTAATGTAGTTATTGATAAAATTTGAAGAGCAGGATGATGATTTTAATCATGATATAAATTAATCTTTATTTTGATGATGATGATGATGAAGTAGTTAATATTATTCCTGTTGATAATGGATGAGGATGATTACCATCGTAATATTTTGTGACGATGATGATGACGACGATGATGATGATGATGATGATGATGACAATGATACTGATAATATTGATGATTGTGATGATAATGATGATTAAAGGTGAAGAATATTATTGCTGTTGATAATTGATGAGCATGATTACCATCGTAATGACTATGATCAATGATAAACAATGATGTTAAATTAATCATGAGGACGATGATAAATGATATTTATTGATATTTAAAAGCAACGATGATGGCAATATTAAAGGTGATGATGTTTTAAGATTGCTAATATTGATAATACTATGGTCTAATGATATGGTAGCATTCAATAGAAAATGGATTCTGTAGATACACATGAGTAAACATCGTGATGGTAATGTTGTCTCCGAATGAGTCATTGTAACAGATACTTGAATTGTGAATTAAAGTGGCTCTTTCTGCTCATCATTTTATTTACTTTAAGAATTTATCATTAGGGAGCTTTCACAACCTTACAAAAACGACATTACAAATACTGTACGTCATCTTCATCATAGTCATTTGTCCCTAAAACATTTTTGAAAATACATTATAAGTGCTGAATATGATCGTTGATTCGTGTAAAAGACATGGATGGAGTACGTTGTGACAGATGCTACTGTAGGAGATGAATTGACTAAACATTTGATGCCGTAGTCGTATCTGTTTTCGTAAGCTTGGGAAACCTCCCTATGATGTCTACCGATTATTGTAAACATCCAGGAGCTCCATGCCAATTGTTAGCCATAATGCAACATATTGTAACTGCATAGATATCAGTTTGTTTGCTGATTAAAGTAAGCCTATGTCAAGGTAATTTTGCGCCTTAGATTAAATTTATTCTGGTTAGGTGAACCATAATAAAAAATACAAATAAATGTATGCTCTAAAAAAATATAAATTATTGCTGTATACAATTATTGTGAATAAGCAACATCAGTATAACCGAACATAAAATTGGATTAATACAGTAATCAATTAATAGCATAATTTATCAATAATAAAAAATACAGGAATTCAATTTAATTAGAAACACAACGGACTTTTTAAATATCGCAAACTATGAATTAGAAACAATAAAGCAGTATTCTTAGAAATTAATGTAAATTCCTAGTGCACAGGTATGTCATCCTACCACACAGGTATGCACTTTGAATTGTTAAAGGTTTATTGATCAGTTACCATAGCAACACCACATGAATATCATTTGCCAATTTTTGCTTCATGTTAGGAGCCAGTGAGTACACACCATATAATTACCAAACACTGCAGTTAGTACGTTTTTGTTATTAAAGTGTACAGTATTTTTTAATATAGACATTAGCAATTAAATGATTATATTTGAGTTAACTATACAGTTCATTGTTCCTTGAACAGCAATTATAGTTCCTCAATGCACACACATTGCTAGAAAGCAGGATAAAGTTATCAAAAGGCACAAATCCTATATTTTTTTTCTAACATTGAACACTTGGCTTTCTTGAGCATAACATAAATGTTTTACAGAATGCATTAAAACTCAAATGTACAGTAGTTCACCACACTAAAACTTGGGTTTGTATCTATGAAATGAATATCAAAGGCTAGATATACACTTTCAGATTTCTGTCTGCCAGATTCTCAACAAGCACTGAAATAATAATAATAATAATAATAATAATAATAATAATAATAATAATAATAATAATAATAATAATAATAATAGTTGGATTTGTATAGCGCATCATGCAAAAAAGCACCTATGCCTGGTGATTTAGATCTGACAGTGTATGTTCATCTTCAGACATACCCCAACCAAACAAACTGTATGTTTGACCATGGCTGTAAGAAGGACACTGCCCTACTTTATCCCCATGTCTGATCATACATTGTATATTCGGTCTCACAGACATATCTGATAGTGTTTACCTAGCTAAAGCGAATACGTGAGTAGAATTGCACAAAATGTTTGACTTCCAATGAAGCAATTTGATTGGTTGATTAAAATATACGTCTATGGTTTTGCTGATGTTATAGTGTCGACATTAGTTTCAACAAGCAGTAAATGGTAATACTCTTTCCACTTCAGAAAATAAGAATATGCATTTCCTTGTGTGACTGTTACCAAATTTCATATCACTTAAATTCAACTCCATCCAATTTCAAACATTCATAACAGTATTTATTATAATTTTATCCAATTTCTTATACTTTTCTACATTGGGGCCTGCATATTTTTACCAAAAGTCAGGGTCAATTCTTATATAAAGTGATTAGAACATGCCAAGAAAACATGCACCGAGTTGTAGAAAGAATTTTCACTAGCTTTTGATTCGATCAAATCTGCTGAGTGACTTTTAAAAATTGACTTAAGTACTACTCAATAAAAGCATGCAAGGAATTTGGAAGGAGCTTAATTTGCATTAAATATGAACTTTGACCGCTGAATAAACTCACTGGTTCTTGTGTCACCTCTGGGTCAACAACTCCTGTTTTTTCCAAAGCCTTTAAAGAAAATAAACTCTTAAATTTAGTCTACTGTACTCTGTTAATGACTACCCTACCAAAAAAAAATTAAGTTATAGACACTGTCTGTCATTTAAGACATTAATACTGCAGTTCATTTCAAAGGATCAAAATAATAGGAAAATTCTACCACCGCAGTTAACGGCTGGGCATAAACCGAAAGTTGTCATGGAGATTACATCGCAATGATGCGCTCAGCCTGCCATAGACGGCGTTGTGCTGTCAAACATTCAAAGAGAGCGAAGATGAATTCATCGGCCGATTGTATGGCAAACTGAATGCTTGGTTGCGGAAATGCATCCAGCGGTGGCGCCACAAATTTCCCCCTGCACCCGCTGGCACCACCGCTGAGTGCATATCGTTTATACGTAAGCTTGCAGAACCACCCCCTTAAGCTGTATGCTGTGGTCCCGATAGGTGCAGTAGTAAACATTCTTGTTTATTGCTGAAAATATGTTTCCATTCTTAGCTCCGATGAGGAGCTCTAGTAATACCCGGTTGATGGATTAATGACCTTTTTTGAGCTCTGATGAGGGCGGGCTGCGTGCTGATTGATTAATAAATCTTTTTTGAGCTTTTTTTTTAGCTCCGATGAGGGCCAGCTGAGCTGATTAAATCTGGCTGTGGAGGAAAACAAATTTTTGATATGTTGTAGAACTGATTTTTCAAAGACAAAAAAAAATGTTTGATGGAAAACTGGGGAAAAGTGAATGAGATACAGATATTTGAATATTTAAAAACTGGGAGAAAAAGGTGTATAAAAGGGCAGTTACGCCCTTTTTCCTGCAGTTCTTAAATATTCAAAAATATGTCTCTTATGCACCGTTCCCCAGTTTTTCGTCAAGCAACTATTTTTTGCCTTAGAAAAATCAGTTCTACAACACATCAATTTTTTTTCTCCGGAAACTGAATTTAATTGATCTTTTTTGTATGGGCAGCAGGTAGGGCCATTATACGCTACTCCCTTATACTGCCCTCATTAGAGATTTCAAGATTACGAGAACTTGTTACTATTAATTACAAGGTAAAAACTTAATACAAACTGAATTGCAGTCTTAGATCTACACAGACAGTATAGTAAAACATACTTTTTTTCATAATAAAAACATTTACAATATTAGCATCCTACTGTGTCGAAATATCTACTGTACTTTCAAAATAATATCTTATTACCAGGAAAATGCAACAGTTTTTAAATAGTAAAATATATGTTGCATTGCACTGTTCTTTTATTGTTATCTTTACAATCATTTTTGACAATTTTTGTTGCTATTACTGCAATACCATATTTCAATTACAGAAACTGACGAGTTATTGTCTAATCTTTCCATAAAAATAGCATTTGGTTTCACTGTTTTTTTACAAACAAGTATTCACTATTTTGTTTACTGTAATTTAGAAAACAAAAAGTGTTTCTATATTTATATATACATATTTCCTTCTATTCATTCCTTAGCTTGATGGCAGAAAATTTGAAACTAAATAATATTACATCACATGATGATATTGATATTTCACCTGGAGAAAGAACTCAATGTTTTGAAGATTGCATAATTCATCGGCAAAATATTACAATTCTTATTGCTCTAAGATGAATAGAGGAATTTACTTGAGACAGGAAAATATTCTCAAACTTTACAGTTCTGTTCAGAAAGAGCAGCTTAGCTCAAAACTGGTGGTAGCCACTGTGTGCATGCTGAACTGTGGAGATCTCTTGGTCCTCAGTTCAATTCCCATTGCTTCTCTCCTTGTTTTTCGGCTGAAGGGCTGAAATACAAATTACGATAGCACACCGTCTTTTAGATGGGACGTTTAAGTTGTTGGTCCCATGTGCATTATGGCCCATGTGCACCTTAAAGAATGCAGTACGCTCTTGGAAAAAGAGTAGGGGATTGTCTCTCGGTATACAGCCCAATCACCACCAGAAGGAACTCACTGGAAAAATAAAGTCTTCTTCAGACTTTCGTGAGTTATCCCTACATAGAAAACGCAAATATATTACAACCAATCAGATTACTGGGGTCCTAAGTCTCTCCCGAGTCTTTCAGGAATCTCCTCTGACGATCTTTAAAAAAATATGTTTGCGAAACAAGGTAGAAAAAAAGTCTTGCCTTGCAGCAAAAGGAAATTAACCAGATCTCCTAGAATAAACTATTTCTAACTTGGGACCCCTTATACTGACCAGTGAGAATGAGGTACAATTGAAATAAAATAACTATAAATGATAACAACAATAACTAAAATAATCTAGGAGTGATGTTTTGCCCTACCTGACGTATTATCATACCGATTCCCATCCGAATCACTTGCAAATTTCCTTCGTTAATATTTCGGAACATAGTGTACGATAATACGTCAATCCTATGATATTTTGCTGATGCAAACTCACATTGTAAAAACATCTAACCAAGTAAATCAAATGTCATCATAATTCCTGATGGTGCTTAAATAAAATTGAAATGTAGAATAAAATGGCTTTGTGGAGTGACATTCATACTATTTGAATCAAATGTACAGTATTTATGAAGAATGTGAAAATTTGAAAAATATGAAAAATAGATGTGATTAATGCCACTTCACTCACAAGTCAATAGATACTTAAGTCTCCATGGTATGTACTTTAGCACCTGGGCTCATTAAACATTAACACCTGTACTACTTAAAATTGTATATGGTGGTATGAGGGAAAATGTATTGTCCCATCATAATTTAAGCCCAAGCTCTACAAATTAAATTATGAGGCCAAAGTATATACTGAATTTGAACCCAAGACATAATATTCTCATAAAATATGAAATGGATAAATGAAATATTTTTATTAATATCAAACTACCATAGCATTTTTATATGTACTGTAATGTAAAGGTTTTAATTCATAGATTTAATATAATAATAATAATAGTATTACTAGCACATTTTTAATTAAAACAAACTCTTCAATGCACTTAACAAATGTTGAAATGGACAAATAAAATCAAAATAATAAATAGAAATAATTATAAAAAAGCTTAAAATTACAAACTAACACATTTATAGATCATAAGTTTTAAAATATGTACTTAAAATGTAAAATCTGTGTATTGTAAAAATATTTTAAAGATTATTCATTTTATTTTTATCATTTTCAAGAGGGTACAAAACACATGCTATGGTATGACTTGAGGGAGATTTTAATTGATTTTCAATTAAAATTGCTTATGTATGCTTTAATGAATACTGTAGGATAGGCCTACACAGCTAATCTGGTTCAAGCATTAATGAATCATGGACAAACATAGAACATTCATAAACATCATTATCCTTGCAGCTTCCTTTTCAGTGATGACTGAATGACAATGATTAATCATTAATCAAGACATAATAACAAGAATTGGTAATTTAACCCACATGTTTTATGTGTTACTGTATTGTAGGTATTCAGACACAACTTGAACAACATCCATTCTACCGAATACGGGCAGCTGAACCATCATTTTATTAAATACAGTATTATTTCCAAGTTTCCATCATTTAATTATGCACAGTATATTCTTTTCATGTTTCGTACTTGTCTTGAAAACGGTGAAAAAAAATGAATAACCTTTTTCAGTAAAACTGCCAATAGGTCGTCTGGTATCTGCAAAGCATTATGGGTAAAGGCAGTAAACACCAATTGATTTTGTTATCATTGTATTAACATACTGTACTATACAAGGTAAATCATAATTCATTGACACATTACCTTTAATCAGCTACGCTAGAAATATTCAATGATACTGTACTATAGTATACAAAATCATGAAAATGTAGTGCAAATACAAATCTCTTCAAAAATATAAACAAAATACTATATTATTTAATCCAGATGAAATTGCACACATTTCTACAAAAATTAAAATATATTTGAAATTTATTCTTTTTACTTAAAATTTATATGACACTGAATCCTGAGACCAATGATGACTTCAAGTATTTCAATTCCCTGGCAAGTGTATTCACAAGTTCAAGCTTTTCATAATTTAAACCAGAAACTTTAAATTCCATTCACTCTAATCTGAAACTATTAGGGAAAGTCATTCTCCATTAGAACCCTGTGATGTTGAAACAGCCTTCCACTTCTTTCTTTTCTTTTTTTTTTCAAAGTGAGACTCCTAGCCCATCAATTTTGTTTTATTTATCCTATTCATTGGCCGTATTCGACTTTTCGTTCTTCTTTAAACCAGCCCACCAGCGCAGTCGTAAAATCCTACTTAATGAAAACGACCAGTCGAATAGAAAATGTTTCCATCCAGTTTTTGAATTCTACAATTACAATTATTTTTTGACTTCATGTGGGTAAATATTATAATTTTTATTTTTGAAATTCAATCTAAATTATATTAACGCAAATGTTGTTGTTAAACTAGCGAATCGGCCATATTTGTTTTGGTCACGTGGGTAACATAATGCTGAATAACTCTGAGTACGTTAATTTTTGTTGTCAACGAAGTCTATCTTACAAACCAATCGAATGAAAATAATACTCAACTAAAAATCAGTCAACGAAATGAACCAGTCGAATAAGTCCATTGTGTAATTTTTTAACAAATGTACTTGTAATGTTAGTTACTATAGTTACCATTACAAGTGAGGAAATGGTTTTGGTTTAATTACAGAGAATTTAACTTTGTGTATGATTATAAAAGTAATTGGTAATGAACATACAAGTAATATATTAAATTAAACTAGTTAGGAATGAATAATGTTAATTAAAAAAAACTAATGATACGTTAATTGGAACTTGAAAATTAAAAATAATCTTCAATAATATTTTAAAATTAAAAAGAATATATTATAATTCCATAAAGTTGGCTCAAGTGTAATATAGTTTATATTATTTTCAAAAATTGTATAACGCCTCAGTAAATATAAGAAAGAAATAAACCTACTGTGGTCTACACATACTCAAAATATAAATCTAGTAAACTTTGACTCTACTTTAGGTATCAGTAAATTAATATTACTGTTAATACAGTATGCATGTATTTCTTGGAACTGTAAAATTAATTCAAAAGAAAAATTAATATTTACAAAGATGGTATACAAAAACATTGGGATTTAGAAGATTTGAAAAATTATACAGTTTGAATCAAGACTTACAATTCTTTTTTCTTCTTTTGCTTTCTCAAATTCTTTATCCATTGCATCTTCAGCCTGCAAAATGAATATAAAAAAATGTTAGATGTACCAGTATATTTACATTTAATCTATTTACCATATTTCATTAAATAGTATTTTTAATTTTTGCTAGTTAGGTCCTTCTAACCTGTCCACATAGCGTACATACTGGGTTAAAACACTATGACAAACTGTGTGATATCATTGAACATTCAACACATTACAACCTTTACTCATCATTCAAAAAATCATTAAAAATATTTTATTTATTTTTTCCAATCTCTCAAAATGTTATCATCAATTTGAATGATGTTATAATTTAAATTCATTTTAAGCAGATTGCTTGACCTACACGTGGTATGCCATTATTATTTTCATTATTTATCAATCATTACGAATAATATTATCACTATTATAGTAATCATTTTCTCTAAAGAATCTTATTAAAGTATTCAGCAACTGTTACTGCGGATATTGTGAGATACTTAACACAGGCTACAAACTATTAAGCACCAATTACTGTATTATGAAAGGTCAGAAGAATTCTGAAAATCTGAAAGTAATTAGGGGCTTTCCATTTATTTTTCTAATTATCTATCACAAGGCACTTGTGACTAATTCTTAATATCCTCAATTATACTAATTAAAGGATAACCATGATGAATTATATAAATATAGTTTTGCAAAAAAAAAATTTTTTTAAATGGCAAAATCTCCAATAGGACGGAATTAAATGCTTCTTAAGGCTAGACGGAGATGAGCGTAAACAGCTTAACCAAATGAACTGAAGACAATTCTCAGTGTGTTACCGAATTAAGTGAGTTAATTGTTTAGTTTTTAAGCTTTCTGTAAACTCTCCACATCATAAAGCAACTTTGGATAATAATAATAATAATAATAATAATAATAATAATAATAATAAATAATAATAATAATAATAATAATAATAATAATAATAATAATAATGAGCTGAATGTTATTATCCCTGGTCATTGGATAAGAACATACAATGGCAAACCAGCACAATGTGCAACCTTCTCTGATCCCTGGGGAGTATACCTAGTTGTGCGCAACTTGCTTAGCGCACAATACTAGTACATTCAATGCTACAACATCCTACCGGGTACCCATTTATACTCCTGGGTAAAGACACAAACGTAGATAAAGTGAATTGACCAAGAACACAAGCGACTTCCACAGCGAGAGTTTTGAACCCCTGACCTCAAGGTTGGGAGTCCCAAGTCACAATATGCCAACTACTGCTAGAAAATTAGATTTCTAAATTTACCAGTTTTCCAGTACCAAACCAGTGAAAAAGAAGCTTGGTTATAGAGCACTGATAAATCAACCTAACTTATAAGGTATAAAAATATTGGAATACCTTTTATGAAGTATGAATTAATATTCAAATCTGTACTCAGCCCTGGTAACTTCTTAATTATCATATCAAGAAATGATTGTCTTTACTAACTACACATGTTACAGCCACTATAACCTCTCAATTTTCATTAAATTCATTACAGTTATCATTTTTGTGTTAGTCCTTTACTTATTAGACTTTTATAGTATGGTATTTGTCTCATTAGATATATTTCTTTTAAAAAGTAGTTTGGCTCCCTACACAGCTATATGCAAAATGTATGCTATAAAATATTTTTGATTTCCTTATTAAATATTTTTTTTTATTATTGTATCATCATATACTACAGTAGCTACAGTAGGTGATTGTAATTAATACATAAATTGGTAATTCTTAACAGAAGCAAAATTAATATGTCAATGTGCAATGTTCAGCACAATGTATCGGAGAAAATACTTAAATCCTTCATGGACAATACTGTATTTCCAAGAGTGGTCTGCTGTAAAAACTGGCAATTCAATATAATTTGAAAATATTTTTGGATTCCTCTGGCTTACATAATGCGAGTAACCATAGTAGCTTACTCAGTTAATAGAATCCAGTTCTTCTTTCATACATAATAAATACAGTTAATAGTCTTATTGGTCATGCTTAGCACCTACCTCTTTCTGTTGTCGTTCTAGTTCACGCATTCTGATATCCCTGGCTTCAGCTCTTGCCTGCCTTCTAGCTGCAAGACGAGCTTCTGCCTAAAGTAAACAAAACAAAAATATCAAAAGTTGATATTACAATTCAGGAAACATAACTTTACATATACAAGCTTTTATAGGACATAAAACAAAATGCCGTTTCGTTTAAGATGGGTAGATCATACAATTAGTTTTCATAGTCTTTAAATTGGTCTACCTGAAATATCAATAGATACTATATTATTGAAAGCAATATAAAAACTCATTATTAAACAACAGTTTAACAATGTAGAATAAGACACTAAAACGGGAAATATGTTTTCCCAGGCCTACCTTCGTACCAAACAGGTAACTGATTAGGAAGTCTTTTAGAAAACACATACTGTTCACTAGCCTAGCAATATTTAATCATTTTTCTGATCAGATCTATGAACTTAGATGTAGCACACAGTTCCTGGTTCGAAACAGGAAACACATAATCCGAAACAGAAACCGATTCTGAATTAGTAGTGTATCAAGCATCGTTCACAAGATGACCCACTGAACACATCGCTGAGCAGGTCTCCACTGTCACCTGTTACACTTGGTCTTAGCATCATATAACTTAAGTATATTAACAAGTTGTTCTGTATATAATTTCATGCTGATTATGTTAGGAATATGTACTGGTATCAGCCTTGGATGAAGATTATTATATTGCTGTGCTTTTTCAGAGATACCACGATGCAATTTGCTGCCTTGTTAATCACCAAGCCTATGAGTCAAGACATGGAAGTAAGAAGACTAATGATTGCTGATGGATGTTGTTTAAACTGTAAGTTTTGTGGTTAGATTTTGTGAGGCCTCAGATCAGGAGTTTAACCAGAAAAACGAAATAAGCCGTCCAAAATGGAAGCCAGTGGGCGTGGCCATGAGCTGATGGGCGGACCACGCCCTCTCAAAAACATAAGAAACAAAAATAGAAAATTATGATTTTTAGTGAACACTTAAATGTGTTTAAATGTTGGAACTTTGTCTTCAAAGGAATAGTGTTGAATTCTAATAGCTATCACTATTTCAGTTATAGATATAAATTGTGCACGGCTACGCTTACTCACATAATGTTTCTAGGCTATGCAGACGCATCTTCATCTCTCGCCATACAGTAGTTTAGTGTAAAGTGTAAATTCTACTCTAGGTCCTCCGAATCGGGAGATAGGCATAGACCTACTGTATATTGTTGACTAATAGAATTTATCTTGTGACATTGACAACAAATCTTCTTTACGGTATTTCATGAATTACAGAAATATAAAAAGAGAGTTACGAACACTAACAATATTATGTCGGGGAACCGAATCCCAAGTACTACATTTGCAGAGCCACGTGTATGTGTTGTGGGCGACTCAGAACCTTCCATTTTCTAGCAGGGTATAAATGTTTTAACATGATGCGTGTTGTAAGTGAACTTTTCACCAGGTAGGCAATGGTTAAGCCTTAAATTTTTGGGAATCCCAAACCGAATATTGGTATGAAAACAACGTATACATTCAATCAATAGAGATTGTTTTTATCAAACGTAAATATGATTTAACTTTAGTTTAATAATTCAATAGATTTGAAGAATATGAAGAATTTGCTAAAGGTAGACCAGGCCCAATTAGGCTAGGCCGAACTGAATAGGCCAAGCCGTCCCGGTAAAAGTGGCCGTCCTAAATAATTGTTGGCCGTCCAAATGATGACCAGACTGCTCGCTGGCTAAGCCTATGCCTTTGCCTCAGATAAACATCTTAACTTTGGAAAATTCATTTTTTTAAATAATTACTCCAAATAAAACACTGGTTATACTTTGTATGAGCAACATATTAATATGTCCTACTGTAAACCTTTACAAATATCAAAATTTAATATAATTTAATTCATATAATTCCTAAGACTTTGTTACACGAATATTAATGGAGAAAGTGTATTGAGACTAATGGTCATTTTTTCCCATTTCAATTAGATCCTATTGAACAATGTGCATATAATTCAATGCTACTGTAGCTAACTTTTATATTTTATTTTGACTAGAAATTATTTGTATTTCAAAATTGATGGTTTTTCTGGCTTTGGTCAGTACAAACAAGGAGATATTGTATGCAATTATTATGCACAGTACATTCCTTGCTGAACAACAAAAAGTTTAAATCTTGAATCTTTATTAAGTTGATATCACATATATATTGCCAAGATCAGTATAGTTGGTATATTATAGTACCATCAATGAAAAAAAAAATTAAAATTAAAAATGACCTAACCCCTCTGCACCACCCCCTCCAACTCTACTGTATAGAAACAAAATAATAATGGCAAAGCATTACAAAGTATGGAGTAAACAATTTGTGCAGTAAACAATTAGGCATAAACAGTCCCAATCCAACTTATTGGACTGATGTGTTATAACGCAAGACTTTGGGCTTTAAACTGAATGATCATGGGTTCGAGTCCTAAAAGGGTCAAACCCTGGGCACAACCTAGGCAAGACCCACTGTATGTTTTTGTTTCTCTCCAGTAAAGGGATATATGAGGTATAAATGTATATATAAAGGTATAAATGAGTACTTGGTTGGATATGAATGATATGGGATAAAATTGGGTAGAGCAGAATTACCAGTATCAATAGGAGTCTCCCCAGGATGCTCAGGAAATTGACCATTGTGTATTGAATGCTTCTGTATCCAATAACCAAGATGACCGACAGGAAAGCAAACACAAAACTGCCATAGAAGGAATTCAAGTACCATTTTGCTGTACGCTGGTTACCATGTGAACTATTGTAGGCATGAGGAAGACACCTATATCTTTATGTATTGCTATGGTTAAAGCCTGTAACTGCAGCCTCACTAATGTACAAACAGGCAGACAGTAATGTTTTTTACAAACATCATTGAACATTAAGCCATAGGCATGACTACTATCAAGTTTTTGTCTGTTCAAATGACTTCAATCAAATTTAATTTAATTTACTTACAACGCAAGATAACAAGCAGTATTCAATAAACACATTTTACACGCAAAGTCAGAGAGTTATCAGGTTTTTATCTGTTCAGAAGCTTTCATATAATTAAATTTACTAACATGGATTCAAACACTATTTAATAAACACATTTTACATGCAAAGCAAGGGGTCCATTAACAACTCCCTTTAAGGACTTTGTGTGCCAGATGCTTATGCCATATCCGACCGAACAAAATTTAATCATGTCTGTTTATATGGGTGCTTTTTGCTACATTACACAAAGTTTTGTTGAGAATTTCATCACAGAGAAAAATTTGATCGTGGTTGTCTTACCTTAAGCTCAGCTTACAGTACATTTAAAAGTAGGCCTACGCTCTTTTTTAAAGGCTAAGCTTTTCTGGATATCAATTTCTGGAATAAACTCCCATTAATTGTCTTTTGCTTTCATTGTATCAAATTATTATTTTATTTTTACTTTTTTTATTGCTTAAAACATAAAAAAAAATAATTACTTGATTGTTGCACTTTCAGAATTCAATCACCAATTAGAGACAATGGATCTTTCTGGAATGTTAATGAAACTTAAGAAACAACCAATCAGAACTCTTCAATTAGGTAGGGCCAAGAATACAGCATGTCCCACTTAACACAAGTTTACATTATGACACTGCACACTTTGCCATGGTTTATGGATACATACTATTGGTGCAATGTTCTAATTTTCACTGAAACATCTTTATACCAAAATACACTTGTAAGTTATGATCAAATTACCATACATGTATCCCATGATGTAATACTAGCTTCCCACACGCTCACCCTTTTGTATGGTTACATAGGGTTCAAATCAAGAAGTTAAATTTGTTAGTACATATTAAGTGCCTCCACCACAGACTTCCTGGTGGATAGTATCTTGCCACCCACTCTTAGTTTCCTGCTGAGACAACTATACAACTATACTTGTATAGTCGTCTCAGGTTTCCTGTAATTAGTTCTAAAGTTGGTTCACAAGTTCACAAATTTGTTCTTTTTTAATTTTGAATACACTGTTTTGAATTAATCACCGATTTATGTCTTGCACTGAATTTCTATTTTAAATTTTCTCGTTTCATGTTTGTCATTTTGTTTTGCAATAAAATAGAAGCATAGTCTTTTAACAAATCAAAACACTAAAAGTATCATAAAAATTGCAAATATTGAATTAGTTTATTTTTGTAATTTTAAAATGTCTGCAGTCTGTGCATATTTCTTAATTTTATGATCCAGATTATGCATTGTAACATATTTTAACCTTAGTAAAAATTAAAGCAAATACAAATAACAACATCCCATACAGTATATTTAGAGAAATTCAATATGTCGCCAGATTGTGGTTGTACGTCTTTCCTCTGTTATGCAATTATGTGGGACATCACTAGTTCAAACCAAATGGTTATACTGCAACTCCAATCAAACTTATGAATGGATACAAACAAAGCAGACAAAACCATAATTACGAGTGTACTCAGTATCCACAGATAAAAAAAAAATTTCTTATTTCAGCTGGACATTTTAATCAGATGCAGTTCTCACTCCAGTCTTCATTGATTTGAATATACTGTACGTGCATGAAGAGATGAGGATTTACTGGTGTATGCAATGCATACCATCTGTCGTCATATTTCGGTTCTGCATCAGTAACCCCCTATGTTCAACTAAGCCTCTTCAACTATTATTAGATTTTAATTTCAAAAATAAAGATTACATGAAAATTAATTTCAAATAGGTTAAAGTATTCAAATTTTATTTCATCATTCTGTCAAAGTTGGAATAACAAATATGAGCAATAAAAATTTATGCAACAATAAAAATATACTCACTTTCCTGCTTCTTTCTTTCTTTCAATAAAATCTCAATAAAAAATTATAACAAAAATATATTTTTCTGCTATAATTACCAGATACAAAACAGATATGTAAGTAATATCTTTCCTACTGTATCTAGGATAACCTAAGGGAATGTGCTATGGCAGTCGGGAGGTGTTGCTGATAATATAGTGTATGTTACTTCACATTTTTAATCTTCCTATAAAGCGGCATGCAACCTACAGGTTAGAAATAGTCTAGTACTACTACTGTAATGCTCAGATAGAGCAGAGAAGTTTTTTTTAATAAGAAAGAAATCCTACTGCAGAACTGACTGAACTTGGACACAGAACCCTCCAGTTTAGAGAGTGAGCTGATCAATATACAAAACCCACCCTAACAACACAATAATATGATTGACCTCTTAATACTCGATGTTCATAAATTTATATTTCATAAAGTTCAAATTATTGCCTTAAACTTTAGTTTGACTATGACCTGGACTGAACTCAAAATTTAGATTTGCAATATGACCATAAAACCTTACAGTAAATTACATAAGTATACTGGTAATCATTCTTGAACTAAACTTAATTGGCTTTTAATTACAAATATTTCCATACTAAACAGACAAATAAATAATATTGTTCATTTTTGTATAGAATATTAAATCAGCTAGAATGGAAATACATTACAGATTTTTGTAGAAATTTAAATTGTTTTGACCAATGTCTCATTGGAATTTGATTAAAAACTGATAATATTTTTTTTTAAAATAATGTTGTTACTGATATTATTGGTCGATACTTAAAAAAAATGAATAAAGTTCAAAATAATTACAAATGCAAAAGTTCATGAAAGCTAAAATGTGGCACATGTTTTGTGGCATAGCTCATAACCACATCGGATGAAATATTCAAATGCCAAAAACATTCTACTTTATCAACGACTGACATTAGTGAGTTTTAGATCTCAGACGACAAGTAATCTGGGACAGCTTGATGTCAATATTCAATTAGAGTTCTTCCGTCTGGGATGTGAAACCTTTAAATCTGTGAAAATGTTTGTCTGACTAATCAGAAACAAACTAACACACATGTATGCATCAAATCTTTTGATCTAGGTAGAGTGCTAGCCATACTTCGAGGCACTATTGTGGCTCAACGTGCTACTGCATCATCATACATCTAAAAGAAACAGTGTTTACTGTATCTTTTGCGGATTGTGTCATGTCATTTTAGACACTTGTCTCGGTTATTTGTCATCTCAGATCTGAAACTCACTACAATAATTGTCTGTTTAGTCCAAGACAGAAAAAGCTTCATCATCAATTTTGTTTGCAATATGTAAATTAATATAATAAAACACACAGTACCTCTTTTGCTATTGAATCTAATGCCTGATCTTCTACTGTATATGCTCTAGACGTTCCATGTTCCCTCTTTCGACCTCCTGATGCCTGTGCTGCCGCCCCAGGCACTGTTGTCGTTGGGGATGTGGCTGACATATTGCGAGTCAGACTTGTATACTGAAAAAAATGCAATTACAGGTTTACTTATGTTTGTGGAAACTTATTCTACTAACCAGATGTCATATTCTTCGAAGCAATAACAATATAAGTGGTACAGTGGATAGTTAGATACATCATTAATACAAAAAAACAATTATAAATTTCATACTACAGTACTGTATATTATGAATCCTTACAACAAATAAAAATGACAACAGCCAGTACTGTATATTTTGATATTATAAGTTTTTTTTATTATTAATTAAAATGTCATTACTTTGGAAAACTAGTAAAAATTATAATTCAAATAAGGAGTTTTGTTGGCACTTGGGTCACCATCTCAGTATACTGTTCAGCAATCACATGCAAGGAAATGTTGCGTGTTCTCTCACTCATAAAGAAATATGAACCAATCACATGAAAGGAAATGCTGAGTACTCTCACTTATCCAAGATAAATGAGCCAATCACATTAAAGGAAATGATGAGTATTATCTCTCATAAAAGATATATATAGTATGATGTTAGAATTACCAATTTATTTGTTTACTTGTTTAGTGGAGGTAAAATCTCTTTTGGTTGTAGATGAAATACACAACTCTTATGAATTTTGTAATGCCAAAAAAACAAAAATTAAATAAATTATTAATAAATACAATAAGGCAAGATTTGTTTATACCTTGTTTTGCGAACTTATTTTTTAAGAATCATCAGAGGAGGGTGGGGAAAAAATTTTGTTTTCTTATTAATACCAAATAGTTTTGCCAAAACATCCAGACAGAGGAGAAAATAAAAATAAAATTTTATTGGTGAATGTAAACACTGTAGTAATGGGATGGTTAAATTCTTCAAATTTATGTAATTAGGAATAGAAATAGGCAGCCGATTCTTATTTTTTGAGATTTCAAGGCAGCGTCGGGCGTGATAAAAATAAAGAAAAAGTGATTTTTTTCTGAAATTTCCATTTTTTTGTGGTGGCGGGTGCCCCAATTAGCCAAAAATAAAATGTTATGTTTACATCTAAGATCATAATTTTTGGCAGACGGCAGATTCGCTGAACAAGGTATAAGAAAAGTCTTGCCTAAAGAATACATATTTCAACAAATTAGGTCTATATTAGGCCAAGTAAAAAAAAACATGTTTCACGTCCGGCTTTTTTTTTAAATTGAGGAAGAGGCCTTTTTATTTTTTATTTTTCAAAATGGCCGCCATTCTACAGACTTGTTGACATTTCCCATCTAGTTTTGTTCAACATATAAAATTTAGGAATCATTGTTACTGTATACAATCGGAATGTTCCCGATGTTACGTCTCAGACGTCTTCACATGAAACTATTCCATATAATCTGACATAGAGGGCCAGTATAACGGGAAATTCCAGAATTCATCGGAAATCATCGGCCGTATTCGATTGGGACTTTCGTGCTCTGCTCAACGGAAACTGCTCAACGAAGTTAAAGCTCGGAATTTATTGTTGAGTTTTGTACTCAACAGGATAACATACTCAACGTATAGTCCCAATCGAATACGGCAATTGTATGCATGACAAACATGCTCTAGTGAAGTGAACTCAAGGTTTGCCGCCTGACGCCCAGAGTAGACGACGGCCTAGGCCTAGCCTAGAGATATCGGGCTAGCCTAGGTAGAGATATTGGGCTAGCCTAGGCATAGCTTTACTATACGAAAGGTTAGACGAAGATAGTGTATAAGAGACAGATTTTAGGCTAGGGTATTTATTTTCCAACATTTAATTCTAAATTTTCGATATATTTTTTCTTTATTTTCATGAATTTTCCAAAAATAAAAAAAAATAAAAAAATCAAGGCGGGCGAAAAAAACGATGCGGGCGGGGACACGAAACATGTTTTTTTTTTTACTTGGCCTTATGGCCTGTGAACGCAATTATAGCCTACACACTTTATGGAGACAGGTCAGGGCAAAACAAAAAAAATGGTCATCGTGGAATGTGCACCTACTTTTCAATATTATTTTTACTACTAAAAAAATAGCTCAATTATCATTGAAATGTTGATAAAGAATTAGTTCATTAACAATTTAAACCGTATTATTAATAATATATTAATGTCACTGCATCTGTCAGTCATTGTATCGCCTGTGTAAATTTGTTTTCCTTCATTAAAATTTTATGGCTGCCTTCAAAAAATGTAAACAATCAACTACCAAGGGTTCATGCACGAGTTCCTGGAAGCAGGTAGTCCATCTATATACACTAGGTTAGCCCAGTTACAATACTGCTAAAAAAAAAAAAAACACATCCAAAATACAAATGCTAAGGGGGCAGGCCTGGAGACTATATAATTTAGTAAACAGTAGGCCTAGGCCTGCCCTACCTAGGGACTAGGCCTAGTAGTAGTAGGATAGGGTAGGCCTAGGTAGGGCCTAAATTAAGAATAGGAATTTTATTTACAATTCCAAATAGTTTGCATTATGGGCCCTAGCCTAAAATATACGGTAATCGTTTAGTCTGCATTTTACTAAACACTTGTTTTACCGAAATATTAACATAACATCTAAGTAAAGACAGACAATACCATTTATCTTTAGCCTAGATAATATCAGCTTTGTACTACAAAAGTGGGCTGCGCCATCCCAAGTGTTATCGGCCTTCGACTCCTTTCGACGGCGAGAGCACCTCAATCTTGCAGTGTGAACAGAAAAATAAACTCAGTTCATTAATTCGTAAAAAATGACCCAAACCAAATTCAATTCATTTTACCAACAAATGAGAAACATATAATAACCTTAGCTACTTCTGTCAATCCTATTCCACGAAAACAGGACCATGTAAAGAGCTATAAGGCAAAGTTTACCAGATACCACTACAGAACTTATATACACATTCCGGATTTTGCACCATGAACATGAACCTTCTCGATATATCGCAAACACCCATAAAAAAATAGCGGAAGTAATATCTAGCGCCCTCTAAAACTACTGTACTGGTTCCCGGACCAAAGATGTTGTCCTCAGAGTGTGGCGCGCTACTGTTAATACCGTAAAAAGCTACGTTCACATCTGAGCCCGGATCCAGTCCGGTGCCCGGACAAAAAATCGTGAAAAATGGGTTCGGTGATAAAAAATAGGACCGTTCACATCAAATTTGTACGATTTCCAATCCGGACTCCGGATCCGGACCGATGGATCTCATCTGAGAGCCCTTTGTATCCTGCAATCGTACGTTTTTTTCCTTGGACCAATCAGCAACAAGCTTGCTTGGTTCGAACCAATACAACGATTACGCACTTAAGCCGAATAACCGTGTTCCGTGCGCGATGTGTACCCAGCGTTAAAAAAACGTAGCAACTCACGATTTTTTGTCCGGGCTCCGGACCGAATTCGGGCTTCATGTGAACGTAGCTTTAGTCTGGAAAACCGTCAAAAAATTATGAAAATCTTGAATTGCTCATTCAGAGTTTGTTAACCACCTTTACTTACTTTAGTGCACACAATATTCCTAATGCTGCGCGTGCTTTGTTTTTTTCATTGAATGACGTTAATCATGAGGATCTTGGTGTGATTTTTAACTCTGGCGAGTTGCAGAACAACTTAAAGCTTTAAATCAAAGGTTGAGTATATTATCGTGATCTTTTTTTTTACTTTTTGAAACTTAGGATGGTTTCCTTAGGTTGTATTAAATTATTTTTCTCACTCTTTATAATGTAGATTTAATTCATTCCACTGTAAAGAGGATTTGCAGTTCAGAAGCTCTGCCAGAGATTGACTCTCGACATAACTATAACGCACATCAGATAGCTCATTGGATAACAGTAAAAAAAAACTCCGTGAATGACTGTTGCAATACTACCAGGCAAAACAAACCAAAGGTTTGATAACAACCATATGAAACTTATTGCCAAAAAAAACAAACAGTTTGTGGTAAGCTGTAAGAAAGTTAAAACAACATTTGAACAACTCTCTATTGAAGATAGTAATATTGATAATTTTTCTGCAACGAAACTGCTCGGTCTAACTTTAAGCAGCAATCTATCATGTCAACCTCATATTGATAATATCACTAAGAAGTGTAATTTAAATTATTTTTTCTTAGACAATACTGAAACATTATTGTTGTTTTATAAACAAGTCATTAGACCTGTATTAGAATACGCAGTGCCAGTATGATGCCTGAATATTATCAAAGACTTACCAACTTGATCGCATTCAGCATAGAGAATGCAAAGTAATATTTAACAGAACTTGTAGATTAGATGATGACCCTGTTATTCCACTCACTGTAAGAAGGGACATCCTGTGCGGATACTTCACCCAGGTTAAACACCCGGGACATGTACTTCATAATTTGCTACATATTACAAATATCAACTATAGCCTTCGAGCTCCTAGAGAGTTCAAGTTGCCCAAACTCAGAACAAATCGGTCCCGTGACTTCACTTTAAATCATGGGGTATTTGTCAAGTGATGAAGTTTCCCTCCCGGAGTTACCCCCACCCCAAAAAGAAAAGAAAAATCATGTAGGCTTTATTTAGTTTTATTCAGTATTGTACTTGTACTTTTATTCAGTATTGTGAGTATAATTTCTCACTTATTAGTGCCCTACTTGATTGTTTTTTGTTTTTGTTTTTGAAGTTGTGTACATCTCTGTGCTTTTCAAGAGCGTTGTTTCTTTTTTAAACTATGAGGAAACTGTTGTTATGTATAAAATTGTAATCGTCTTCTCACCTTTCCACTTGGACCAAATGCATGTCTAACAGAAGACCGATTTCGACCGCTTCTCTGAACAGGCCTAGTAGGTTTTCTTGTCAGAATCGGTGATAGGCTAACTTCTTTACTTCCTTCAGCACCCATTATACTAAATGAATAATACAAAACTGTAACTTAGCATTAACTTAGATAAATATGCCTAGAACAAGTATCATTTATATTTTATTTTTATATTTTAGATAAAGGTCTGTCTAAAATTATAGGCCTACTTGAGAGACCCAGAAACCAGGGCCAACTGGGTCGACCGAAACGTTGTTGGACTGATGCCACATTAAGAGTTAAACGGGGATCCATAATTTTGGGAGCAGACGAATAATAATATTATCCAAGACATGAAAGCATTATGGAAAATATTCTGCCAGGGACCCATTGTTTTTATTCTGGGAAGAGAATCGGAAATCGAGCGCACACTCACTGAGACCTCACATTCGTCTAATATACTAATAGGCCAACATCAGCAAGAATTCAACTCGTAACCCGGTCAAACTGACATTACAGTACAGTATATCAAAACTAACCCATGTTACAAATAAAACAATTGTTCCATTGAAGCTAATAGTATAGGATGTTTAACTAGATTTTGAAGTATATTAGCATAAACGAAAACATACGTAACTTAAGCCTACCTTAGTTTTAACTTGTTACAAATTCCGAAATAGTTGAAATGTACCACATACGATATTACTTTTTCTTGCATTTCGAGATATGACACAACACTGGCGGTAATCGGCAATCGGATATCCGACGATTCTCCCCAAGGTGTTCCTCCAGAACGTCACGCAGATTAAAATATCCGCCGGACCGTGACATCTTTGCCACTCCGCTTCACAATACTTTCTTCTATGGGGCCTCTTTAACTTCGGTATTGAAACTTTATTTCTATTTCAGGGCAGTAAGTCTTTTAACAATAACTCCTTAAAGATGGATGGAATATTGTTCTTTAAACCACCGATGTCTACACATCCTAACCCGGGTCTACCTCGGTCACAGTGCCGCAAATGAATAATTGAGGTCATGGTCAGAATAATGGATAAAATAAATACAGTAAAGTATCAATAATATGACGTCATTGTATGTTTATTAGGCTTATTCCCACTTACGGAGTTTTCACTTTGGACGGTTTGTGAATATTGTGTATTTACACACTGGATTAGTGACGTAAGATTAATTGAGTAGTGACGCGCATTAAATAGGCCTATCAGATAAAAACATTTTATTTATTTGTTGTAAGGTGTGACATTTTGATTCTTTCTAATAAATGTTCTATTATTGTGACTTGAATTTATAGGACATTATTATGCACATGCATGATTAAAATACTGTTACTGTGTGGAAATCGGTATTTAAAAAACATTAAATTTACAATTAAAACATTGATTTATTCATTCAAAGAGGTCAAAAATCACTTACCTATCCATAGAAACATTGCTATCTGTTTTTTTGTTTTTTGTTTTTTTTTGCTGATTTGCAGACGATTATCAAACAAAAGTTATATTGTTAATAGGCCATGTCAATGAACAAGAAAGTGTTTATACTAAATGTATTTATAATATAAAGTAGGCCTAATTAGAGATACTGTACTGTACTATCGAAAAATATTGACTCCGGAGCTTGGATTGGATTTATTCGGTGTAAACACTAAGGATAACCACTAAAGTTCAAAGAAGACTTATATCCAGTGGGTCCATCTGGCGGTGATTGGGAAGTGCGCCGGGAGACAATCCCATACTTTTTTTTCCGAAGAGTGTGCGTGCACACGTCATGGGCAATATTGTACATAAGGCAGTGACTAGAATAAAACAAATAAAATAATGAGAATCCTCAGTCGCCTACGCAGTCATGAAATGTAGGCTAGTCTATGACTAAATTCTTTACAGGGCATCCTATCCAATATATTAATAGGAAAGCAAGCATTTCCAGCAAACAATATAGGCCTACTCTGCTACTTCAAGCGATGAAACACTGTTACACAGTTCGTTTCAAGTTTTCTTAAATAAAACGCTCTTGAATTGTAATATTGTCGTTGTCAAAAAAGGAGTGAAATCTATGTGCGAACAGTAAAAATAAGGGTATCGACGGGCAATAATAGCGTATCGACGTGGCAATGATTTCGTCATGACGGGCAATAATAATAATAGTATTAATTATGTCATAGTGATGATAATGCAGCAAAAGAAATTCCCGGCGCTTATAACATAGGAATCATTTTAATTATTTACATTTAAAACAATTTTTATTTACTTATAAACATTAAGAAGTATGGAAATCGCAGACAGAGAGACATGGCAATTTTTGGCGTGAATAAATCATAATGATAATGAAAACGTCATTTCTATTAAAATCATCTCAGAATTATCCGGAATACATTAAACTGTCGAAGTTAATTTGCCCTTCTGAAATCTATAGCGCCCCCTTTAGTGCTAAGTGCGATCAAATTGCACTTATTACCACTGAAAGAAACCCATTCAAGCGTTAATACCATCTGCTTTCGCTTGCAGGATTTTTAAAGGTTGCACTATATTGTTCCCGGAGGAGAGCCATCACTCGTAAAGTAGGCCTAGTTGTATAGATCAATCTTAATACCTAAGAATCTGTATTTTTTAAGGTGGGTATTATGTTTAATATTTTGAGGTACCTATTTAGCATGTGCAGTACTACTCCTACGTACGTGCTATATTTTATCATGTGCATACCTGAGAATGAATATGAATGATGACCAAGCCCATATTTGACGTAGCGTAGGCCTTGGATTTTGGTAGTGTTTACGTTTTATTACCCGAATGGTTGGAGCAGGGAGGTGTTGGAGGGTGTGATGGGGCTCGTCTCATTTAATTGCTGTAGTGATGATCAGTTTAGCTAAGCCTAGTATAAACACTCTGGTGTAATTGTGTCAGTCTTATATTTATATAACCAGGTTGAAGGTGTGACATGGAGGAAATATATTTTTATTCCATTTGTATAAACCTATCCCAGATTATTTTTATTTTTTAAGGGGTTGTTTGTAGTGGCGGCGCAAGCGGGGGGTGGGGGAAGCAAATTGACTAAGTCCCCCACCAGACAGGTAAGCCTCCTCCATTGGACAGAGCTCATCGGGCAGTCGGAGTAAAAAGGATGTGAAAATAGACCCACGCCAAACCAACTATGTCTGTCACAGTCTAAAAGTGTCATTTATGGCAATCCAGAGGTTTCTATTCTTAAAAAAAATCTAATTTGGGAGGCGGAAATCCCTCTCGAACCCTCCCTCCCCTAGCTCAGGCCAAGCTCAAGTCCCCCTGTCAGACAGCTCAGCCCCCTCCCCCCCAGAAAATATATCCTAGAGCCACCACTGTTTGTATAATAAAAATCAAGGAGATACCCTTGTCCCTGCCTGCTATTGTATGTGTTTCAAAAATGTTTGTGTGTATGCAATCATTCAAGACTAGAAATAGGTCCACTAAGTAAGAAAGGGGTACCGCTGGGAAGCCAACCTGACTACCTATCTGAACAGTACACTATGGTAATATACACAAATACTTCGTCCTCATTCAAGTCGAAATTGGAATCATACGCACCTGGCCTCTGGGGGACCCAGTGCAGTGCACCACCCGACTTCAAACATGTAACGGATGCTGTACATACAGATGCAAACTTAGACCTTAGCCTGCCTAACACATCATGAGGGTTGTTCAAGGAACCAAGCAATCAGACTCCAACTAAAACTTGACACTGGGTTTAAACTGGAGTCTACAGCACAAGAAGGGACCTGCTACTTGAAAAATTGATTGTTTGTGGTGTTTTACACATCCTCTGACCCATTTCTATTCCCGCCCCTTCGAATAGATTTACGGCTGGAAAAACAGTGCCACTGACTTAAATATTTCTACACCATATTTGTAGAGAAATTTATCCACTCATTCTCAAATATATTTAAAAACAACAAGCAGATGTAAATTAAGTGAAATAAATTACTTTATGTTTCATTTTCATTTCAAAGCTTGATTTAAACCAATAAGAATGGCATCATCTCATCCTAGCGATGCATTTGTTGCATTGCCACCGGCAACAGTGGGTGGTGTTATTGTGTTTGCCAAAAATGCTGGTCATACAAACGAAGCTGTACAGGAAGTCATATATTGCCCAGCAGCTGATCATGTGACTAAGACAAAGGTAATAGAATAACCACATTGCTATGTTCTGCAACATAGTGCCCAGCATCATTTATAAACTGTATTGTAGTAGTATCTATGAATTACTGAGGTCAGATTTCTCTTCTGAAGAACTTCTTTAAAAAGGTCACTACACAAGGTATAAAAAAGAGTTGGCTAGACACAATGGACCTTTTTTGCTAAAGGGTTACTAAACCCTGCCTTTTAGATGTATTGTTGCTTAAAGTTTCAACAAAAGGACAGTGTAAAAACATACTGCACGCAAACATGTGCATTGTGGAACAGCAGCACATGTGTTGACTGTCATATCTCTGTCCCTGTTTTGATTTATCAGTTGTTAAGTGCGACACTCCAGAAAGATCCATCTCAGTATACACACAAACATGAATATAGATACAGATAAGATAAAATAATTTTTTAAAATGCAAAGAAAATATAATTAGTCTATACAAAAATGTTGTTAGATAATTGACAAAATACTAAACAACTGAATATTATCCCCAGTGCACCTACATTGAAGTTGATCAGCTGAGCCATACCCACGCTGTCCTGTTGTGTAAAGTTCCTTGGATGTGGGGTGCTGATATGGGAGCCAATGAGAAAGGTGTTTGTATAGGTAACATACCTGTAGATTCCAAGTCCCTAGGAGATGCTGATAAAGAAGGGAAACTGACTGGACCAGACCTTGTCAGGTTAGTAACCTAAATTAGGAATCTGTTTATGCAATGTTTCTGGGAGAGCCAATTTAATGTCTTTAAACAGCTGCTCTCTACCTATTAGTAATTACTACAGTTAGCAGATCCAGGAATTCACAATTTGTGTTTATTTTGTAATATTTAGGGGGTAGGGGCACTAATATTGCACTTACTGAATATTGATTATATATATAAAATTATTTAGAATATTATAAAAACCAGAGTTTGAAAGGAATTAATTTTTATGCACATACAGCATACTTATAAAATACAAACACTCTCCAAAACATTGTTTTGAGATTATCATCTGTACCACATATGATTGCAATTGTCCTTCCTGGGCTCCATTTCATATCTCCATCTTCTCTGTTGCATTGCCTGGTTTTGCATTCTGTACAATACTGGTTCCCAGCTAATATTCAGACCATTATTGTCTGACAAGCCTGCTAATGTAGCCAGCACACTTTTTATTTTGTGAGTGTGGTTAGGTGTACTGTACTTCTATGTTGCCACTTGTCCCTGACCTTAGACAACCTCACATTTTTATGGTAATTTATTTATTATCATTTTAAAGTAATTTTCCCAATAATCTGATAAAATATATTTTCTTAATAGGCTTGGATTAGAGAGGGGTGACAGTGCCAAAGATGCACTTGACATTATAACCAGTTTGATCAAGACCTTTGGAACTGGTGGCTCCTGCTCTGAGGGACAAGAGTCTGTGTTTCATAACAGCTTCATGATTGCTGACAGAAAAGAAGCCTGGGTTCTGGAGACTGCGGGCAAGGACTGGGTGGCTGAGCAGATTACAGGTTTGTTCAAGTCAAGCTTACTCTGAGCCCCTTGACTCCATGTTGTGTATAAAGAACCTTCGATTTGTATTGAAGACTAAAGTTCAATATTTGAATTGCTTAGCTGAATTATAAAAGTAAATTTTTAGTGTTCAAATGAAAGTATGAAATCATTTCCTTTGTCAAATAACATTAATAGAAGTAATAAAAATAATAGCAATTTCATTGTTAGTTGCTAGTCAATATTACATCTATTTGAAAAGTCCATATTAGCAAAAAATTATTTTGTTTAAAAATATCTGTAGTATTTAACATTATAAATTCATTTGATCCATTGATTCAAGATGAGCAATTAAATGTAAATGACTTTTAGGGTTTTATCTGAGATTACACATATAGTACATCTTTGAAGAAGAAATTTGGGTCTGTCTATTTTTTGGTTGGTTTACATTTTGCCCATAAATAACAAAATGCCCTAGATTTTTTATTTTTCTTTGAATTTATAAAGACAATTTTTTTCTATCAAATGTATAAAGTGTGAAAATATTGTGATACTGACAATTTTTAGGGTTTTTTTAACCAGATTTTTTTGCTTAATACACGGGCTATTGAATGTTCAGTCACACACCAAATTAAATTTTGTTTAATAGTATAAGAAATAATGTATGTATGATTTGGTTTGGGAAGTCATAGAAAAAAAACTTTGCAGTATTTTAATGCAGGACAACATAGTTAAATAGTGAGCACCCTCTATAAAAAATAATTATAATAATCCTGGTGATGATCGGAGATCGGAATACTGAATCACAATGACAAGTCTTACTTTATTTTGAGTATGTGTTATACTAAGTTATCTAATCTTTGAAAAGTATTAATATAATATTAAAATTTCTCATTTCAGAGGGTGTAAGAAATATTTCAAACAGCTATACTATA